AATACCAGAACCAATGGCATCGCAAAAAACCGGAGGGTTGCCGCCTATTTGAAATTTTTTAAACCCAATTATGTATATCGATGAAATAAATTAATTATTACTATATGGGTATCAAATTAAAGAGGTTTAAGAAAGATAACTGTCGGAAATATTTTTGAGGAGGGTTGCCACCTATTTTAAAATTTTAGCTCAGTTAAATTGATAAAGAAAATGAAATCTTGCTAGGTGGGTATCAAACTAAAGAGTTTTAAAAAGGCTTACAGTCAAAAACATTTTTGAGGATGGTTGCCACCTGTTTGAAAATTAAACTAAATTACATTGATAAAATAAATGAAATAGTACAATATGGGTATCAAATTAAAGAAGTTTAAGAAAGATAACTGTTGGAAATATTTTGTAGGAGGTTTGCCACTTATTTTGAAATTTTAACTCAGTTAAATTGATAAAGAAAATTAAATATTGCTATGTGGGTATCAAACTAAAGAGTTTTAAGAAGGCTTACAGTCGAAAATATTTTGAATGAGGGTTGCCACCTGTTAAAAAATTTAACACGATTTAAGTGATATATTACAATATAGATATTAAATTTAAGAGGGTTAAGAAAGATAACTGCTGGAAATATTTTTGAACAAAATAGCCACCACTTTGAAAATTTAAACTCAGTTATTTTGATAAAATAAATGAAGTACGGTAATTTGGGTATACAAATTTAGATTTTTAAGACGGCTTACGGCCGAAAATGTGGTTGAGGAGGGTTGCCACCCGTTGNACCTGTTAAAAAATTTAACACGATTTAAGTGATATATTACAATATAGATATTAAATTTAAGAGGGTTAAGAAAGATAACTGCTGGAAATATTTTTGAACAAAATAGCCACCACTTTGAAAATTTAGACTCAGTTATTTTGATAAAATAAATGAAATACGGTAATTTGGGTATACAAATTTAGATTTTTAAGACGGCTTACGGCCGAAAATGTGGTTGAGGAGGGTTGCAACCCGTTGGAAAATTTAACCCAGTTTAATTAATATACATAGGTATCAAATTAAAAAGGTGTAAGAAAGAAGATTTTTGGAAATATTTTTGAGGAGGGTTGCCACCTATTTGAAGATTTGAACTCAGTTAAATTGATTAAACAAATGAAATATTGCAATGAGGGTATAAAAATAAAGAGTTTATAAAATATATACAGTAGAAAATATGTTTGGGGAGGGTTGCCACCTGTTTGAAAATTTAACTCAATTAAATTGGTAAAATAAATGAAAGGTTACAATATCGGTAACAAACCAAAGGCATTTGAGAAATCTTGATTTAGAAATCTATATATATATATATATATATATAAAGAGATTTAAGAAGGCTTACTGCAGAAAATATGTTTGAGGTATAATATGGGTGCCAAACGAAAGGTATTTGAAAAATCTTGATTTGGAAATATTTTAATAGGATTATCACCTATCTAAAAGTAAAGACTGAAAATATTGAAATTAAATGAAATATTACATAACTGGTTCCAAACGAAAAGTGTTTAGGATAGCTTTACTAGGGAACTTTTTTAAATCTTTCCACTTATCCAAAATCGGAACAGTTTAAATAAATATAGAATTTACAACATCTTATCAAACGAAGTGATCATATTATCAACGAAGAGCTGGTACACAAATTACTTAATGTAAAAAATTAATAAACAAGTAATTTTTTAGCAAAAAACACAACGGACATCAATTCTAATAAAAAATTTAATAGTACCGTTACTTTTTTCATGATCCAATGATCGGATCTAAACCAAATTAGTATGGGATCACCTGGAAATCAGTTGACGTGGTCCAAAGTTATGCGGTAACATACATAAAAAATAATAATCCGACGAATTGATAACCTTCTCCTTTTTTTGAAGTCGGCTAAAAACTACCGAAACAAATAACAAAATGATAAAAGAGTAACGAAAATAAAAAAACTACCGCATGAAAGCTGTTTAAAAAATACTTAATGAAAACTTAAAACTGTTGACAACATTCCCTAGCATTATAAATCAGTTAACTTTTAATCGTAAACAATTTATTTCGTTTGGGGTCGCCATTGCCTACTACGTACATATATTGCGAGTAAAGAAATTTTCAATAACTTGAGATAATATTATTATGATTATGATTATCATTACTATTGTGAACTCCTATTCCCGACCAAAGTTTCCCAAAATTAAAGCGAAAGCAGAAGGGCATTTACGATCACATGATGCAAATGTTAAGATAATAAGAGCTGCAGAACGAAACCATGCAAGAACATTTTTTTACAACGAAGTGTAATTTCTGGCGTTTGCCGATGACATCGACATCATCGGTAACAAAAATCGCGAAGTCTCTTCTGCCTTTTCTAATCTGGATAAGGAAGTGAAGCGAATGCGCCTGGTGGTAAACGAGGCCAAGACGAAGTATCTCCTGTCATAAACAAAGCGCATTCGCGCCTTGGAACTCAAGTCACTGTTGACAGTTATAAGTTCGGGAAAGTGGAGAATTTCGTTTACTAGGGAACCAGCATTATCATAAATAAAAATATCAGCATGGAAAACCCACACAGAATCACTCTTGCAAACAAGTGCTACTTTGGACTGAGTAGGCAGTTCGGGAGTAAAGTCCTCTCACGACGTATAAAAAACCGCACTCTATAAGTCACTCATCATGCCCGAGCTGTTATATGGCGCAGAAGCTTAGACAATGACAACATTCGATGAGACGTCTCTTGGAGTATTCGACAAAAATACATATCTTACGGAAGATTTACAGGCTTGTACGCGTGGCCGACGGGGATAACCGTAGACGATGGAACGATGAGTTGTATGAGACTTAAAACGAAATGTACATAGTGCAGGGAATGAAAATGCAGCGGCCNTGTACGCGTGGCCGACGGGGATAACCGTAGACGATGGAACGATGAGTTGTATGAGACTTAAAACGAAATGTACATAGTGCCGGGAATGAAAATGCAGCGGCCCCGCTTGCTTAGACATGTCGTTCCAATAGGAACCGAAGTTCCAGGTGTGAAAGAATACAACTCGCAATCCGCTGGTGGTAGCAGAGGAATAGGGAGCCCCCGCTGCAATGGGGAGACCAAGTTGGTACAGAGAGAAATTGACTGGCGTTCTTTGTCGAGCTCGGTCAAAATGACTTAGGCGGTTACAAAGCCAAAGTAGAAGAAGAATATGCAAATGATAAATGGCGGAGTTGGGGGAGGATGCGCCAGGAGTTACTAGGAAAATATTCCTTGTCAGATGGATTCTGGCAACGGTTCGATCAAAAAATTGCACTAGCTTAGCTATCACTCCGTCTGGAATTGATGCGATATTGTAACCAGGTGGGAGCATTGGCAATTCAGTTCTTGAGCTGCCATTGAACATATAAGTCATCGAGACTCCCACGTGCAATATTTCCAGGGCAACCGGTATGGAAAAAGTATTAAAAAAATTTGAATTCACTGTTTGGGATGAGTGCACCATGGCACATAAAAAATCGCTTGAGGTCATTGATCGATTGTAGTGAGATTCGAGTGGAAACGTTCAACCATTCGGGAATGCATTGATATTGCTCGCAGGAGATTTTACGCAAACATTGTCTGTAGTTCCTCGATTAACACTAGCGGACGAGATAAATGTTTGCCTGAAATAGTCAACATTGCGACAAGACTGCAGCCGAGGTATTCTTGCGACAATTACTGGACATTGGGAACGAAAGGTGCCAGTCAATGAGAGATAAAGACAAATTTTATGGCCTGATAATTTTTGTAACTTAGAAACATCGAAAGGAGAACTGATCGAAAGAATGTTTCTTTATTAAGAAAATTAATTATAGGAATCTCGATTGGCTCAGTGAACGGGCTATTCTTGCTGCGAAGAATAAGGATGTCTATCAACTAAATAATAGTGGTATTGAAAACAGTCGTTGCTTGAGCTGATCTACCATTTTACCAGACTGCCAGGCCACTTGCTCACGTTGGTGAATACCGCTAATATTATTCAATCCAGCATTCAACGTGAGGAAATAGCACGATAAATACCGTTGTGGAAAAAGACGATCCAACAGAATTTTTGGACTCGATTGATCTTCCAGGGAGACCCCACGTACTGAAATTGAAAATAGGTGTGCCAATTATCATGTTGCGGAATATTAATCGGCCAAAACTTTGCAACGGCAGACGACTCGCACTAAAGAAATTGATGAAGAAAGTAGTGTAAGTAAAGATTTTAACGTGGCCTTTCAAAGGTGAAGAGTTCTCATGATTCCGACCGATAGGCACACCATTTCAATTTAAAATATTGCAATTCCCAATTCGATTGACATTTGGAATCACAATCAATAATGCTCCAGTCGAAGTTGGAAAAGCAAACCAGATATCCTTGATATCTATGCAGCGAATGGAAAAACAACAAATATTGTGTGCACACAAGTACTTATTACATAACCAAACACATATTAAACGTATGCATTGTTTCGTTAATAACACTATGCGACAGTCAAAATCGGGATGGGATGAAACCAACGGGAAATGTTATATCGGTCAAAAACAAGTTATACGTGTCCCGGCGTTTCGCTGGGTCACGTCTAGGAATCGAGATATATATATATAACTATCATATAGGGGAAATTGTCACCTTTGGTGGTCTTTTTTTTTTGACATAACTCGAGAGCCACTAGTCCGATTTTGCTCAAACAAATTTAAAAAAATTAAAAATTACAATTCCTTTAATCTGTTCATATAACGTTTTTCTATATAATCAACAGTTTTGCCGGTAAAAATAAATGTATGAAGAAAAAAAGTATTTTTTGCCTAAAATATTAATCGCTTAATTTTTTTAATTTCCAATGCAGCGAAACTTTAATGGACTTCTTTCAGTGAGTTTATGTATGGGTATCTTCCAGTGAGTTTTAATACCAGTTTATTAAGTCCACTACAAAAGCTTTCTCGTTTCATATTTTTTTATTGTTTTTTTTTTCTCATACTTACATGCAAGAATACGATCCGATTTCCGAAAAGAAATTACAAGTGCCACCATTTAGACAAAATTCAGCAGCATCATCGGGACAAACATTGCCAGTTCCACCCGTTAAACTTGTTGGATAACGCGGCTCTGAAATGTGTAAATTTACATATATTAGATTATTTTACATAGTATACGTATTTAGTAAAGAGAAACAATTCAGGATAGTGCCGAACGCCCCATACTTTTCATCAATATTAGCATTTTTGATCAGTTGTTTGGTAGACTAATTTTTTTTAATGAGCAAATAGGAAAACAATGTTTGATCTTAACTACTTATGTATATGGATAAGATATATAACAAAAACTCATATTTGAACAATCGGTGCTATGGGAGATACATGTAATCGTAACGATTCTCCCAGTTGGCCTTGTATAACCGATAAGTAAGCACGCCAACAATTTCATGGTTTAGCTTTGGTATACTTTTAAGTATGTCTTACTTTTCCTCTTCTAGTACTTACACATATCGGACTAAGATATCGACTCTCTTTAAGATGAATATCCCGTCAAGAAGGGAGTGGTAAACACCAAGACCGGGAGAAAGGGGGAAGTAAATTTTTACACGGATGAATCCAAGCTGGACAAAAGTTGGCTACGAAGTTTTTTCTAAAGAATTAAGACTGGAATTATCCGCTCGAATTCCGGACCACTGCAGCGTTTATCACGCAGAAGTTCTTGCTATAAAAGAGGTGGCTGTGTACCTTAATACACATGCCGTAAAGAAGACCACGATTAACATCTTCTCGGTTAGCCAGGCGGCCATCAAATCAATGAACGCGGCAATGCTAAGATCAAAGGTTGCACATGAATGATATTAGAACCGTCTAAAAGGTCAGCCTTATACATATGTATCCCGGGACATAGAGATTTTGAAGGCAATTGCAGAGCAGATGTGCTAACCACGAAATGTACCAATCTTCCATTGTCCGAAAGCATTGTAAGATTGGGATACTTATGGCAACCTGCAAACCAAGGATTAGAAATAACACTATTCAAAGGGCCAATAGGTCATGGTTAGACGAGGGCACTTGTACAACAACTATTTAGGTTACTATGTCCGCAAATTGCTAGGTAAAAAATCGAAGAATTGCTCAGCCTCTCGAGGGAGAACATTTCGATGGCCATGGCTTGTGTAACGGGTCATTGGTTATTTGGTAGGCACGCTTCGAGATTAGGAATATTCTCCCATGAGACGAGGAAGAAGAAGAAATAGTTGAGCATTTCTTCTGTAGTTGCCTAGCTTTAGCTAAGTGCAGAGCGGGCTTTCTAGGTAGGCACTTTTTCCAGCTCTCTCACGGAACTAATGTGGTGGAGGAATAAAACCAATCTTACGCTTCATAAGGATGTGTTCCGTCTTTTTTTCGTCCAGCTCACAGAAACAACAGCCGATCTTGTATGAAATATTCATTTTATTAGGTGATGACGCAGGATACAAATTACCAAATTACAGTTGGAAAGTTATCCTTGCCTAGATTCATGAGCTTTTTGATGGACAGGTAAGCCAATAAGCTTGGCTTTGCTGTATCCAATAGTAATAACTTCGATAAGAGAAGAGGTGTACTTTTCGATATTACTGATGTATTTTTATCAACCTAGTTATCGATGTTGTTATGGAAAAAATATATTGAAAGGATCTGTCATTGAGTACCTCATTTAAATTTTTTTAACTAATGACCTTAAATGTCAGAAGCATACTAATTAATCCCCTTCTTTGATCAGAAAAAGCGAATCTGCTGCTATCATCAATACAAGCTCTCAAGCAGATATCTATACAAATATATACAAATGCACGTATATATGTACATTAGCGTGGATCACTCTACATACAAAGAAAAGGAAGATTTTCATCGAAATTACACAATTTATTTTTATGCAGAACATTTAAGCTTAAATTCGTTTATCATCTGAAGTGATTTTCTGCAAAAAATATTATAAAAAACTATTTTTTTTCTTGAGTTTAGAGGTTTTTTAAATCGGCCCAGTGCACTTAAAATTTAATATTTGGCGAATTATATCGGCAGAAGTCTTTAAATATAATAAATTTTATAATTTTGATGGAAAAATCGCGACTTTTTTGGTGAGGCACCCTAATGCACATGTGTATGTATGTAAATAGCGGGGGCCAAAAATCCACTTTTTTTAGAATTTTGATTAGTAATAGCAAACATATGGTCCATTATGCTTTAAAAAAAAATCAGTGTGCAAGATTAAAAATGTTGGTCAATATCTTAGGCTCGCCCAAGTCCATCAAAATTCAAATGGTAAAAGTTTTTTTTTTTGCTTATTTCGATTCTCTACAAAAATTGTCCATATACCAAATTATGTAGGACTAATACTTTCGAAGATAATTGCAATTTTAGTAATAAAATGTGTTAATTGATTTATTTATCAATTTTTATTTTTTTGAGCACATTGAATTTTGATGGACTTGGGCGAGCCTAAAATATTGACCTAAAATTTTCATCTTTCACACAGATTTTTTTTTTTAGAGTATAATGAACCATATTTCTGCTATTACCAATCAAGATTCTAAAAAAGCGGATTTTCGGCCCCCGGTAATGTACATATGTGACACAAATAATTGCATTTAATTTTCCTTTTTCCCTTTTCAATCGATTCTTTTTTAACTCCATACAAATGTGTGGAGGTACATACACACATCTCTTTTCTTTCCATAATTTCCTTTTAAATGGCATTTATATGGTTTTTAATTCGAAAAACTAGAGTTCTAATGCCTTTTATTTGTAGATTTTAATCATCTAATCTTATTTCATCGTCAATTTTACGCACCTCTACATATTTATACATATGCACGTATATATGGATGTACATGATTAAACTTATGTACATCGGTGGAAATCCTCATTCGCTACATAAGCAATAATACTAACTATGTAGTGTAAAAAGGGAAATTTTGCGATAAATTACAAATTAATTGGGCCATAATAATTTCTGTGAAAATTAAGCGTATATAAATATTTAAAGTAAAACACTGAAACGGAGAAGAGACAAGACATACATACATACATATGTACAAGCAAAGCATAAATACAAATGAAAATATATGTACATTTATACTTTCGTTACCACTATGCATATGCATTTATATTTACAAAAAAAAGTATATACACATATGCATGTAAGTATGTAAGCTCAATTCTTGCTACGGCTAATTACCTGGATCCGCTTTAATTAAAATGGTGCGTCGATCTGGCTCCTGATTGATTTTATTTTTAGCGCGACACTCATAGCGCCCCGTATCGGAAATGTTAAACGAACGTATGATCAGTTCAGAACGCTTTCTAAGTATTTAAAAGTGAGAGTAAATAAATGATTCCAATGTGTGAAAATATTGATTATAAATAAAAACATGAAAACATAATAAATATGTACATACATATGTAGTATCAAAAGGTAGGCAAAGCGAGATGCTTGCAAATAGATTAGTCTAATTTTTCAACTCACTTGAAATGACGAAATTTGTACAATTTACGATTACGATTAATCGATTTGCCATCCTTGAACCAGGTGACCTTGGGTGGTGGCCGTCCTTGTACTTTGCAAACAATGTGCAACTCTTTACCGATTTCCATTGTCCGATTTGTGGTTATAGTACGTATTGATGCGAGCTGTGCTGTAAAGAATTTAGAGCAAATATATTTTTGGTAATTATTAATGAGGCGATTTGTGAAATTTCAAAGCTTTATAAAATAATCGTTTTTTTAATCGAGGAGAAACGAAAAGAATTGAAGTGTATACTACTGCATTTGTAAAGGCACTGATGTGAAATAATTTTAATGCATATCGTACCTTTGCAGCAAGAGTGTCAGAAAATAATTGAGTTAAGTATGCAGAAGTGAACGCCACGTCTTTATCTATGTTGTGCACAAATTTCAGAGCTGTGTCGATTAATAACAATGTACAATATTGTATATTTTTTTGGATTGTGTATAGAAAAGTAATTTCTCAGTTTTCCCAGTTTGGCAATTTTAAGCTTTTTTTGTCAATTTGATGTTGGTGGTCTCTGAACAACATTTAAAACAACTATTGAATTGCAAATATTTTTACATTCAAAAGCCTTTATTTGGGTCTTGGGGTCAGAAGAATCTGAGATTGCAATTTATTTTCAACAAAAATGGTCGCTAGGGTGCGCTTTAATGTAAAAATCATGGAAGGAGTATGAAAAAAAATGCAAAAAAACGTTTCTAAATAATGTTCCTAACAATGTTTCTTCAAATTTATTTGCACCAAAGTACACCCAGCAGTCGCGGCATTTTTGGTAAAAAAAGCTTCTTGGTATTAATAAGCTGCAGATTCATGGTATAAATATTTGAAAAAATTAAAAATTTTTAAAATCGCCAACCTGGGAAAAGTTGAGAAATTAATTTTCTGTAAACAATCCAGACTTCCAGAAAAACTTGGTTTTATCAATTCCATTTTTATATTTATTTAATATTAGTGCATTAATATGTAATCTCTACTATAATAAAACTAGTATTTATAAAAATTCGGGTTAAGTCAAAATACAAAATTTTTTGAGTGCCTAACACAAAAGGTGGACACACTAATGCTCCATCCTAATGTAAAGCAATGCAGCGCCACTAACTATAATTTAGATTTACATTCAATTAGAAATTAAAGGAAACTACAATTTCAGAGAACAAAAAAAAAGCTTAATTTTCGATATTATTAGCTTTTTACTTAGATCAACAATACTTTAAAACGCGTCCAACTTCCCCTAATACAATAGATTTATTCCCTGGCGAGAGCTCTCCTGCTTAAGTTTTCAAACATAAATTTTATCTAAAGTAAATAGCTGACTATGCTGCTAGACGAAACCAAGACACATAATTATAATTAAATGAGACTTTGCTGGCGACCATGTTCTTCCAACTCATTGCTCATAAGCAGCGCCAGCAATCACTATACCCACCCACCCATAGAAATTGATGATGACAATGCACCAATTGGCAACAAAAATGGAAAAAAAAACTTTAAGTAATACGTTTAAATTTCAAATAAAAACGAAATAAAGAAACAATGTTCAGTTAAATTTTTTTAAATTGTGTATTTCAAATATAAAGAAGCAGAAAAGTGGCGAGGCGGCAAGTCAAAAAATCGGCAAATACCTCGCATATACATTGTGAGTATTTCTAAATATATTAGAATTAAGCAAATATCATATATACGTACAATTGTATATGTGTATTTGTGTACAGCTTTTTTTGTATAAAAAGCATGCTGTTTTTCACAACAACAAACACATCGAATGGCATTAAAAATATAACAAGCGTGATTCATGCATGAATTGTTACACTCGCACAACGTGTTGCTTTACTTTGGTTTTAGTTTTTCGCATGCAATACGGCATGGCGTATGAGCAACATGAGGCAACTTGTTAAGTAAAACGTACCAAAACACATTTTATGGGAATTGAAAACATTGCAAAATTAATATTAAACATTTTCTTAGTACAATTAAGCTAGAAGAGGGCTACTAAGTATTCATTGAGAAAAAGTTGAACTGAAAAATAAAATTCAAGTTTTCAATACTCATTTTTATGAGCCGCTCTTGTAGAAGTATTTATACAAGTATTTTAACCATTATTAATTTTTTTAATAACTTTTCTATCAAATTGGTTCGTTTTTTCAGAAAGTGATGATAATGACTACGGTATGTTAGGTTAGCTTAAGTTGAAAGTTCACAAAGCGATCTCACATGGATAGACCAACTAAGTCTATAGTGTTACCAGAAACATTTAATATAGCTCTGCCTGAGTTATAAATCTAGAAAATTTTGTATAGAGCGTAACTGCTACTTTGATAAGATCGAGGAAACTTTCGTGATTATTTCTGGATAGTCAATTTCACACTTTAAAGAGTAGGAGACTGCTAAGGTATTTGCATACGCAGGTAACGTGACGGTTTTTCTATGGATAGATTCTTGAACAGATGTCTGAGAGATGGTGGTGAATGTAGATATCGACGTCCCAGTTGCACCAAAGCTGGGGAATAGCAGAGAAGGGTTGGAAGTTCTCGATTTTATCATCGTATCGAAGTAAAACTTCGGCAGTAGGAAGCCAGCTTTCCTGGCAAGCATCTCTATTGGACAGGGGGCTGGTTGAGCTATCCCACAAGCCGGTTTTAAGAGAAAATTTATTTTTGAGTCACTGAGTACAAAAATTCTGATTGCCCATGCCAAACAACAGAACTATGTGTGTATATCTAACGAAAAGAGAAATATCTTTCACTGAGTGCTTCCCGTTTCGGTGCATTTATGGCATAATGTGAACTAGAAGTAATTTATCGTAAATAAATCAGTGTGCCGCAAATATCTGACCGGAATGTGAAGCGGTATCCTTTGTAGGATAGCAAATAACAGCGTCAGTGAAAATGATAAGAATAAATTAATAAATATCCGCGAGTAGATTTAAGTTTCAAGGCAATCAGCGCGACAGGATCATGGGATCAGGAAAGTTTAAAGAACATAATCTATATATTAATACGCTAACATATATTTTGTCCGCTTTAGTTTGGCGAATGAACCGAACCGATGTTAAAACAATTGGTTGAAAATTACAGCTAAAATCGTATTTTCAAAATTTCCGTATTTGTGTATAGTTGTTGTTACAACATGTTCAATTTGAGTTGTTATCACATTTTGTTTTACTTTGAAATGGAACTTTGTAATAAAGATAAAGNCAGCTAAAATCGTATTTTCAAAATTTCCGTATTTGTGTATAGTTGTTGTTGCAACATGTTCAATTTGAGTTGTTATCACATTTTGTTTTACTTTGAAATGGAACTTTGTAATAAAGATAAAGTGAAGATGAAGATGAAGAAAGAAATGATGAAAATGACATTGTTTTCAGAATACATAATATACATAAAAATTATGGTAATTGAATTGGTAAGAAAATGCATTGAAATTTTATAATAAGAATATAAATATATCCAGTCATCAGAAATTTAGTTACCGAATGTTATCAAATTTCTTGTCACCGAAGTTTATAGTTATGGAAATTTACTGTATCATCCATGTTTATTAAGTTATCGAAATGTGTCGTGTTATTGAAATTGGTCAATGTTTATTGAATTGTACCGATAGTTTTCGAGTTATAAAAATTTATCAAATCATCGAAATTTATCAAGTTGACGAAGTTTATCGAGTTAACGACATTTATCGAGTTGTCGAGTTTTATCGAAATTTTTTGGTAGTTATCGAAATGTGTTGGTAGCTAAAGACATTTGTCGGTTTATGGAATCGAGGCTTTTGGAAATTTGGATCTATATCTCGTTANTGAAGATGAAGAAAGAAATGATGAAAATGACATTGTTTTCAGAATACATAATATACATAAAAATTATGGTAATTGAATTGGTAAGAAAATGCATTGAAATTTTATAATAAGAATAGAAATATATCCCGTCATCAGAAATTTAGTTACCGAATGTTATCAAATTTCTTGTCACCGAAGTTTATAGTTATGGAAATGTTTATTAAGTTATCGAAATGTGTCGTGTTATTGAAATTGGTCAATGTTTATTGAATTGTACCGATAGTTTTCGAGTTATAAAAATTTATCGAATCATCGAAATTTATCAAGTTGACGAAGTTTATCGAGTTAACGACATTTATCGAGTTGTCGAGTTTTATCGAAATTTTTTGGTAGTTATCGAAATGTGTTGGTAGCTAAAGACATTTGTCGGTTTATGGAATCGAGGCTTTTGGAAATTTGGATCTATATCTCGTTATCGAAACTTCTAGAATAATGTGAATTTGTCAAGTTATCACTCTTTATAGAATTTAATCGAGTTACCAGAGTGTGTCGAGCTATCGAAATTTTCCATAGATATGCAAATTTATGGAGGTATCAAAATCGAGTTAACAATATATCGAGATATGTAAATTTTTGAGTAACCGAACTTTATCCAGTTCTGGATGTTTAGGCGCGACTGCTAACACCGGGCGCCTAAATTCGTGCTATGTACTGCTGCATGTGCAAAAATTTCCTTTATGCAATTTATGAAATTTTTGCACATGCACTTTTCAACTGCCATGTAAATGAACTTTCTTAAGTTTCAATTAGAGGGCACTTTAAAGTATGCTCGGCCTAGTCTGATGCATCCTCCGGACACTGCTTCCGGAGCATTTTGCGGACTCTGTATGACATACATGTAAACATACTGGTCTCCCCTCTCACTGAGTTATTCACTGAAAACGCACAGTTATTTAAATTTATCGATAGTTAGCGAAGCTTTTAGAGTTATCGGAATTTATCGACTTGACTTTTCTGCATTGATAAAAAGCAATCATCATTTTTAGTATTTCACGAGAAATTGGCATATCCTATTACCAACTGATTTGGAAACTCCACAAGTTCAATTTCATGTGGGGGCGCTTAAGTCAAATAAAGGAATGGGGAATATTCACTGCACGCTCAATGATTTCAAAAACACTAAAAGTCATTCTTTATTGTTGCTAAAATAAATTGAGTAGTCCACTTGCAAAGTGCGCCAATTAAAATTTTTTTGATTTTTAGTTTTTGGAGGATTACGTACCAGTATTTATAGTAGTTTCATGTGCACTAACAAGACAGTGCAAAATCTTTTTATATTCTGAAAAAAAATAGCATCAAATG